CAGTCCAAACAATGTAAATAGTGTAAATAGTTACAATACCTCATCTGAGAAATAGAGACAGATGTTGAAGGTGAATATGGCAATAAAGATGAGGACAACAGTCCAAACAATGTAAATAGTGTAAATAGTTACAATACCTCATCTGAGAAATAGAGACAGATGTTGAAGGTGAATATGGCAATAAAGATGAGGACAACAGTCCAAACAATGTAAATAGTGTAAATAGTTACAATACCTCATCTGAGAAATAGAGACAGATGTTGAAGGTGAATATGGCAATAAAGATGAGGACAACAGTCCAAACAATGTAAATAGTGTAAATAGTTACAATACCTCATCTGAGAAATAGAGACAGATGTTGAAGGTGAATATGGCAATAAAGATGAGGACAACAGTCCAAACAATGTAAATAGTGTAAATAGTTACAATACCTCATCTGAGAAATAGAGACAGATGTTGAAGGTGAATATGGCAATAAAGATGAGGACAACAGTCCAAACAATGTAAATAGTGTAAATAGTTACAATACCTCATCTGAGAAATAGAGACAGATGTTGAAGGTGAATATGGCAATAAAGATGAGGACAACAGTCCAAACAATGTAAATAGTGTAAATAGTTACAATACCTCATCTGAGAAATAGAGACAGATGTTGAAGGTGAATATGGCAATAAAGATGAGGACAACAGTCCAAACAATGTAAATAGTGTAAATAGTTACAATACCTCATCTGAGAAATAGAGACAGATGTTGAAGGTGAATATGGCAATAAAGATGAGGACAACAGTCCAAACAATGTAAATAGTGTAAATAGTTACAATACCTCATCTGAGAAATAGAGACAGATGTTGAAGGTGAATATGGCAATAAAGATGAGGACAACAGTCCAAACAATGTAAATAGTGTAAATAGTTACAATACCTCATCTGAGAAATAGAGACAGATGTTGAAGGTGAATATGGCAATAAAGATGAGGACAACAGTCCAAACAATGTAAATAGTGTAAATAGTTACAATACCTCATCTGAGAAATAGAGACAGATGTTGAAGGTGAATATGGCAATAAAGATGAGGACAACAGTCCAAACAATGTAAATAGTGTAAATAGTTACAATACCTCATCTGAGAAATAGAGACAGATGTTGAAGGTGAATATGGCAATAAAGATGAGGACAACAGTCCAAACAATGTAAATAGTGTAAATAGTTACAATACCTCATCTGAGAAATAGAGACAGATGTTGAAGGTGAATATGGCAATAAAGATGAGGACAACAGTCCAAACAATGTAAATAGTGTAAATAGTTACAATACCTCATCTGAGAAATAGAGACAGATGTTGAAGGTGAATATGGCAATAAAGATGAGGACAACAGTCCAAACAATGTAAATAGTGTAAATAGTTACAATACCTCATCTGAGAAATAGAGACAGATGTTGAAGGTGAATATGGCAATAAAGATGAGGACAACAGTCCAAACAATGTAAATAGTGTAAATAGTTACAATACCTCATCTGAGAAATAGAGAATGTTGAAGGTGAATATGGAGTGATGAGGACAACAGTCCAATGGCAATAAAGATGAGGAATGTAAATAATGTAAATAGTTACAATACATCTGAGAAATAGAGACAGATGTTGAAGGTGAATATGGCAATAAAGATGAGGACAACAGTCCAAACAATGTAAATAGTGTAAATAGTTACAATACCTCATCTGAGAAATAGAGACAGATGTTGAAGGTGAATATGGCAATAAAGATGAGGACAACAGTCCAAACAATGTAAATAGTGTAAATAGTTACAATACCTCATCTGAGAAATAGAGACAGATGTTGAAGGTGAATATGGCAATAAAGATGAGGACAACAGTCCAAACAATGTAAATAGTGTAAATAGTTACAATACCTCATCTGAGAAATAGAGACAGATGTTGAAGGTGAATATGGCAATAAAGATGAGGACAACAGTCCAAACAATGTAAATAGTGTAAATAGTTACAATACCTCATCTGAAAATAGAGACAGATGTTGAAGGTGAATATGGCAATAAAGATGAGGACAACAGTCCAAACAATGTAAATAATGTAAATAGTTACAATACCTCATCTGAGAAATAGAGACAGATGTTGAAGGTGAATATGGCAATAAAGATGAGGACAACAGTCCAAACAATGTAAATAGTGTAAATAGTTAAATAGTTAATACCTCATCTGAGAAATAGAGACAGATGTTGAAGGTGAATATGGCAATAAAGATGAGGACAACAGTCCAAACAATGTAAATAGTGTAAATAGTTACAATACCTCATCTGAGAAATAGAGACAGATGTTGAAGGTGAATATGGCAATAAAGATGAGGACAACAGTCCAAACAATGTAAATAGTGTAAATAGTTACAATACCTCATCTGAGAAATAGAGACAGATGTTGAAGGTGAATATGGCAATAAAGATGAGGACAACAGTCCAAACAATGTAAATAATGTAAATAGTTACAATACCTCATCTGAGAAATAGAGACAGATGTTGAAGGTGAATATGGCAATTAAGATGAGGACAACAGTCCAAACAATGTAAATAGTGTAAAAAGTTAGACAATGAGAAATAGAGAGAAGGTGAATGGATACTAAGTGACAATAAGTGAAAGATTAATAAACAGATTGAGATGGAAAATAATTGCCTAAAACTTCAGATACATCAAAATTCTTTATGGATAAACAGAGTAAAAGAAAAATACAAGAGAGAATATTGCATTGTTTATTCCGTTTTTTATATGAAAATCATTCATGTTCATATGATTTATATAAAAACACGAAGATCGTCAATGATTAGAACAAATAAGGGAGTGACTGAGAAGATGATTAGAAAGAATAAGGGAGTGACTGAGAAGATACAGGTTAATATTTAGAGAAGAGTAGGTGCAAAATCCATAAGATAATTGTTGATCCCACATTCAGCGGAGTATCTTATCATCATTACTTTTCAATGCAATGTTCCATTAGGACATAGGTAGTTACAGCTCTCCACAGCTTCATTTTCTTTATTATCTTTAAAAGATAATGGTGTGTTTACCGTCGTCGGGTTTTGAATCCAGAGAAATCTTTTTCTCTTTTTTTGCGGGGGTGAGAAATTAGAAGAGAATGAATGGAGTGTGTGACGGACGAAAACGCTCGAGAAAATGAAGCTAAGGACGAACGCAAAGAAAAGCGCGGGAAATATAAGCGTCGACGAGAGATTTGGGAAAGGGTGGTGACTAAAGCAAAACCGAGTGGAACATGTTTACTAGCAGGAAATTAAGAAGCACTGAGTTAAAGAGTGAAAGACAAATTGGTATGGAATGGCGTAAAAATAGCGATACATTAAAAAATATGTCAATAGAGTAAGAGAAAGCTGAAAGAGAGGATACACTAAATATGATTTTGCATGGCTTATTCCGTTTCTTAATATGAAAATAACCCATGTTAATATAAGATTCAGGCAAAAACACGGACGCGCAAGGGATAAGGGAATGAGTGGGAAGATACAGGAGAGTTGTTGGTGAAGAGAAAAGATATGAGAGGATTGATAATCTTAGTAATCAACACACGTGACATGTTCTCGGATTTAACTTTTCGCCATTTTTAATGCATTATCCCTTCAGGATATAGGCGGTCACGGCTCTCCACAAATTTCTTTTTTCTTTATTATCTTTGAATTGTCATAAATTTTTCGGAAAAAATAGTGGAAATATTTCCTGTTCCCTTCTCCACAGTTTCAGAATAATCCATTTTTAGACTCTTTCTCTTTCTCTCTCTTTCGCTCTCACTCTTTCTTCCACTCTCTCTCTCTCTCTCCCCTCTCTTTCTCAATTTTAAAGAGCCCACTCTATTGTCCTATTTAATCCATAACTAGAAGAATGTATGGATTCATGTCTTTTGCAAGGGCATCACTCGATAACAGTTTGAACTTTCACTTTCATTTTATCGATAAATTTCATTTAATGCAATGTTATATAGGTGATCACGACTCTCCGCAACTTCTTTTTATTTCTTATCTGTGAATTGTTACAACTTTTTTTATAAAGATACTGGAATGCTTTTCCGTTGACATTTCTATAGTTTTGAATTAAGAGTAATCCTTTTTTTTTTAGTCTGGCTATCTCTCAAAGCTACAGAGCCGAAAAAATCCTAGTATTTACCCAACAACTGGATGGAGAAACTATCCCAGGGGCCTTAGCGTGCATTGAACCGAACAGGCGTTATCGGATATTGAACTCGGCTTGTCGATCATAAGTTCCAGCATTTATAACACTCAACCTACCATTTCATCAACTTTATTAGCAAGAAGAAAAGCTAAGTATAAAACTTATTGATTTCTGCCATTCCCAAGGACATAAGTGAACGCAACTGACTAGGCCAAGATTCGAACTCAGCTCGCTAACTTGAGATTCCACTTAGTTAACCGTTAAGCTGCTAATTCTAATGAAGATATAATGAGGAAACTACTTCTAGGAAGTCTGGAGGACATATCGGTCGAAACATAATGATCAAAACAAGATGGGTGAAGATACATAAACAAATAATTCATAGAATAATATATCATTATCTAATAAATTCCAAGAATATTAAGAAGGCCCGAGATCGTATCGGTCCAAATATCGTAGTCGAAACAATAATAGCTGAATATACAAATAATTAATGAAATACCAGCATGCCTTCATCAGTGAAAAGAGAATACTAAAGACGGTGATCGAATTTGTCGCGGTCAAAACAATCAAATGAAGATAGAATTGTTCATATTTCATCGAAAAGGCTTTTATTCTGAAATTCGGACAGTTTCAAGAATACAATGTTTGCTTTATTTCAATTTGTTGAGCAAATATCGATTTGACACTTTTAGAATTATTGTGCATAATTGAAGATAATTTTCTAAAAATATTTTCTCCGGTAGTGTTACTGAATATATATTTATCATTCCATCTTCCTCGATTTTCTTTCTCGATTTCCATTTCTTCTTCACCTTTATGCATACACCTTTCGTTTCAGTAACCGTTGATGAAGAAATGGCCAGACACGTTCCTTTCACACGGTCAATGGCCGACGACGAGAACAAAGAATTCCGCGCTAATTATCTGGGTAATTATTAACACCAAAACGAAACACATGGCTTACAAAACGCGCCAGGAACGACCCACAACAAAGCCATCGGAACACACGTTCGCAACTTCCTGTGAAGATAAGAGATTATATGAGCTCATAAATAATTCCAGAATTCATCCCCCACCCCCGGTCACAATTTTAGAATCCACCCTCTCCTACCACCTTTTCAAACTTTTAGAACCTTTTCCGAATCAATCCTTCTCCTACTAACTATTTAATAACCCCACTTCTACAACCTTTTCCGATTCTATCCTCCTGCTACCACCTTTTCAATAACACCCTCATTTTACAACCTTTACCGAAACTATCCTCCTCCTACCCACTTTTCAATAACCCCTCTCTTTCTACAACCTTTTCCGAATCTATCCTCCTCCTACTACCTTTTCAATTTCCTCCTTCTACAACCTTTTCTGAATCTATCCTCCTCCTACCACCTTTTCAATAACCCCACCATTTTACAACCTTTACCAAAACTATCCTCCTCCTACCCACTTTTCAATAACCCCTCTCCTTCTACAACCTTTTCCGAATCTATCCTCCTCCTACCACTTTTTCAATAACCCTCTCATTTTACAACCTTTACCAAAACTATCCTCCTCCTACCCACTTTTCAATAACCCCTCTCCTTCTACAACCTTTTCCGAATCTATCCTCCTCCTACCACCTTTTCAATAACACCCTCATTTTACAACCTTTACCAAAACTATCCTCCTACCCACTTTTCAATAACCCCTCTCCTTCTACAATCTTTTCCGAATCTATCCTCCTCCTACCACCTTTTCAATAACACCCTCATTTTACAACCTTTACCAAAACTATCCTCCTCCTACCCACTTTTCAATAACCCCTCTCCTTCTACAACCTTTTCCGAATCTATCCTCCTCCTACCACCTTTTCAATAACCCTCTCATTTTACAACCTTTACCAAAACTATCCTCCTCCTACTACCTTTTCAATAACCCCTCTTCTTTTCCAACCTTTTCCAAATCTATCCTCCTCCTACCACCTTTTCAATAACCCCCTCCTTCTATAACCTTTTCCGAATCTATCCTCCTCCTACCACCTTTTCAATAACCCTCCCCTTCTACAACCTTTTCCGAATCTATCCTCCTCCTACCACCTTTTCAATAACCCTCTCCTTCTATAACCTTTTCCGAATCTATCCTCCTCCTACCCACTTTTAAATAGCCCCTCTCCTTTTACAACATCTTCCGAATCTATCCTCCTCCCCCTCCTACTTTTTCAATAACCCCCCTCCTTCTACAACCTTTTCCGTATATATTCTCCTCCTATCACCTTTTCAATAACCCGCTACTTATACAACCTCTTCAGAATTTATCCTCCTATCACCACCTTTTCAATAACGCCCCCTCTTTCTACAACGTTTTCCGAATCTATCCTCCTCCCACCACCTTTTCAATAACCCCCTCCTTCTACAACCTTTTCCCAATCTCTCCTCCTCCTAGCCACTTACCAATAACCCCTCTCCTTCTACAACCTTTTCAGAATCTATCCTCCTCCTACCACATTTTCAATAACCCTCTCCTTCTAGAACCTTTTCCGAATTTATCCTCCTCCTACCACCTTTTCAATAACCCTATCCTTCTACAACCTTTTCCGAATCTGTCCTTCTCCCACCACCTTTTCAATAACCCCCTCCTTCTACAACCTCTTCCGAATATATCCTCCTCCTCGTCACTTTCCAATAACCCCTCTCCTTCTACAACATCTTCCGAATCTATCCTCCTCCTACCACCTTTTCAATAACCCCCTCATTTTACAACCTTTACCAAAACTATCCTCCTCCTACCACCTTTTCAATAACCCCCTCATTTTACAACCTTTACCAAAACTATCCTCCTCCTACCACCTTTTCAATAACCCCCTCCTTCTACAACCTTTTCCGAATCTATCCTCCTCCTACTACCTTTTCAATAACTTCCTCCTTCTACAACCTTTTCTGAATCTATCCTCCTCCTACTACCTTTTCAATAACTTCCTTTTTCTACAACCTTTTCCGAATCTATCCTCCACCAAGCAACTTTTCAGAATCCCGCCTCCTTCTATCACCTATTTTTTATATTTGCTTGTGTTTTTCAAGTCTTTCTTCAAGTTCATGCTCTGAAATCCGATTGTTACTCTTAAATCGACTAAGACCTAATCAATTGGTTTATCGGAATTGACTCTGTACAGAACCCAAAATTAATATTTATTTCGAGAACTGTTTAAGATAAGTGTGATTCCTCTAAAAATTTCTATCTTTCCAAAATAAATTATTTCAACACAGTTGGTTTGTAAATTTGAATGCCTCCAAATCGAAACGTCTCTCATTTAACCACCATAGAGAAATTTCTCTGCTCGCCATCAGCATGGCTGATGCTCGACTCCTGGAGAGCATCTCACTGCGCATCCTTGGACTCACGTTTTAAACTGACATGAAGTAAAGCAACTACATTGAATTAATTGATGCATCAACTGCAAGGAAAGGTAGTTAACAGTGTTGTACCAGAAGGTTTTTCTCATCAGAATCTATCTTACACATTTACAAATCTACCATTCGTTCGTGCATTGTATACTTTTTAAATATCTGGTCTGTTGCTCCTGATATTCATCTCGAGGTTCTTGACAAAATCCAAAAAAGGATCTGCAATATAATCGATCCTAACTTGGCATCTCGACTTCAGTCACTTCCCACATACCTGATATGGCTTCCCTCTGTCTTTTCTACAATTATTTTCATGGCAACTGCTCTAACGAGCTTTATTCCCTGGTGCCCCGACTACACGAATTTAAGCGCGCTACTAGATTGGCAATTAGGTCTCACACATTTACTGTTGAATTAGTTAAATGTAACCATCACTTCTTCTCCAACATTTTCGTTTCTGTCAATTCCCGCCTGTGGAATTCCCTTAAATTCCGTTGCTACCGTCATAATTACAATCATCAAAAATTTGACCATTTAATATTTAACTTTCAGTGTTAATCTTCTTTGTAAGTTAATCAATTTTTCTTAATTTTAACCATTAATATTTCTTAATTTTAACCATTAATATTTCTTAATTCTAACCATTATTATTTCTTAATTGTAACCATTATTTTTTCTTAATTTTAACTATTAATATTTCTTAATTGTAACCATTAATATTTCTTAATTTTAACCATTAATTTTGTTTGCAATTCAATAAGCAATGCGTTTCTTGTCATTTAAAATACATTTTAGATCAGTCCGTATATATATGTATCAAACAAAACAATTTCGATACAACTAAGGAAATTAAATTTATGCAATTTAAATTTGCTCGATGACCTTTCAGGACGTAGGCGATCATGTCTCTCCACAACTTCATGTGCCTTGTAGCTCTTAACAAACTTTGCCTTTCTATTATTTCTCCTAGGATCTGGTCCGCCATTCATTAACTCAAGATGTTATGCGTTGTCTTTTTCTGTCCATCTTGCCTTCTATCTCTCCCATGAGTATCAAATTCTCCAAGCCCTCCTTCCTTATTACATGTTCCAGAAACCTTAACTGTCTTTTCCTTTTTTGTGTCCATTTTCTCCAAAACATTGCTCACATATTCAGTCCATGGTATGCTCATCATCATTCTGTAGAACTATATTCATGTGGCTTCAAGTCTCTTCTTCATCTTTGAGGAGCTCGTCCAGCACTCCTTGCCATATAGATGAGGACAGATATCATGTAGCAGTTTATACTTTTTTCCTTGTTCCTAGTGATTTTTTTTTATTTCTTAGTACTCTGCCTACATTTTTAGAATGATTCCTTGGCTATCCCAATGTACCTTCCTGATTCCAGTGTCACAGGTTCCATCCCCTGTTAAAACACTTCCTACATATTTAAATTTCCGCGCTTCTTTTATTTTGGTATCTCTGGGCTCATCCTTTTGCCAACAAGCATCAGTTGATGTTTAAACCTTTCTTCTTGCTTTCCTTCATTACGTTTTGTAGGGGTTTTTTGATTTGTTTTTGCTGTTTGTTTTTTTTTGGGGGGAGGGGGTGTTTTGTTTTTTGTTTTTTTGCTTTCTTTCCGATACTGCCATCAAAACACTGTCATTTGCATACATTATGTTGTTAAGATTTCGCTGCCAATAATGGATCCCGGAAGGACATCTAGTTCTCTTAGAATCGGCTCGCTGTAAAGGTTGAATAAGTCCAGTGAGAGAGGAGTCCGTTGAACTTTTAGTTGTGGCCACGGTTGTTGAAAGTGAGTAGACAAATGAAGACATTTCTGTTGAAGCCGCCTCTAGTCGAAAGAGAATTCTCGATCACATTTATTTATTTACTTTTTACAATCTTGGCCCCCTGTACAAGGTCTGAGGCTACTCCAGAGATACAGTTTATGCGGATATCTGTGGAAGATTATGGTTACCACTAGCCTTGAACAGGTTAAGATTGTAGTGATCTTGGTAGTCTGTTGCACAAGACAGTGGTTCGTGGAGAGAAGGTGATTTAGTGGAAATTACATCTCACCAAAGGAATATGAAAAGAATGAGGGTGGTTCGCTGCAGTATGGCGGGTCTTAGTCGTGTATGTTAGAACTGGTAGTGTAGAACATGTGAATGCTTTCCATAGAAATAGCAAAAGAACAGCGTGATGCTTGCGACGTCTTTGAGAAAGGGATTATCGAGTGGAAAATAAAACGTTACCTACAAGGATGCTAAAACTCTTTGAAATGGCTCGGAGTTTAGGACTTTGTCGACATCAAAATAGAATGATTTCATTGGCTCATTATTTTTCACCCATGTTATGTGGTATTGTTCTATACTAAATTTGCGGATAAAAGTATGTTTTTTCAATCCATTCCTCGTGAATAAATCTTTTCCAGGAATTTCGGACAAGATGACTTTTATATAACTAGCTAGCTAGCTAGATAGATATGAACACAGATAATGTGAACAGTCTGAAATAGATAGATAGATAGATAGATAGATAGATAGATAGATAGATAGATATGAACAGACTGATAGATAGATAGATAGATAGATAGATAGATAGATAGATAGATAGATAATGTGAACAGTCTGAGATAGATAGATAGATAGATAGATAGATAGATAGATAGATAGATAGATAGATAGATAGATAGATAGATAATGTGAATAGTCTGAGATAGATAGATAGATAGATAGATAGATAGATATGAACACAGATAATGTGAACAGTCTGAGATAGATAGATAGATAGATAGATAGATAGATAGATAGATAGATAGATATGAACAGACTGATAGATAGATAGATAGATAGATAGATAGATAGATAGATAGATAGATAGATAGATATTGCTGCCATATCTGGTAAATTACGTCTATATATTTACAAAATCTTAATAAAAACCAAAGAAGCATCTGCTGTGCTATTGGTTATGATCTGGTATCTCGGCTTCAGTCAATTTTCAACCGTAGTAACGTAACTTTGTCTTTTCTATAAATTACTTTCATTGTAATCGTGCTGGATAACTTTCCTCTACGGTACTTAGCCGTTATGAATTGGCTGCAAGGTTTCATCATTTTACAAATGAATTGGCTAGATGTAGCCGTAAGTTCTATGCTAAGAGTTTCGCACTTCTCACTTGTGGAACTCTCATCCGGTTTTTTACTTCAGAGTCAACTTTAATTTGAAAAACTTTAAAGGCAATGTCAATCGTTATCTCCTGTTTTTTTCATTCCCGTTTTTTTATTGTTATCTCTCCTTAATACCGTTTTTCTCACATTCTCTTAAACTCAGTAACGCCTGTGGTCTCAATGGCTTTATTGCTTTGCTTGGCGTGAAATGATTTTTTTTTAATTGCAAACTGCTGAACATATATATTTGCTTAAATACAGATAGGATGAGGCGCATTATAGGCTTTTGGAATGTTTCATTTTGAGTTAAATATTTTTTGGTCTATATCACACAATGTAAACCATGTAAAATAGAAAAAATAGCTACTCTTAGAAATGTAGCCAATTTGCCTTCCCTCGCCTGCATGTTTTGTACAGGGCCCGCTAAATAATCTCTTGAGTCCATGGTGCCTAAAAAAAGAATTAGAGGAAAAAAGAGGTTTCTTCTGATCACCAGACGATGAGCGGCTGGCAGTAAATAACCTTGCTCGTGATCGTACTAAATGGCGAGAAATAAGTCATTTTAGTTCGAAATCTGCCTGATGGAAAAATTATGATGAAATACAGATCTGCACATACCTGCCTGGTATATTTCGAATCAGACTGAGTATTATAATAATAATCATACAATAATCAGTAATATAATATATGCCAATCATTTTACCGAACTTTGAATAAAATTATTCATGTGAATGAAAGTAACTGAAAGGTTAACCCTCGCTTTTATGGCATTGAATATCGACTTCTGGCACCAGCGAAAAAGAGGCAATTTTCCCAGCGGTAAAGTATACCTTTGTCTAAGTTCATTTGTCTGCATATTTAAATGCGATCATAGAGAATGATTTAATAAGTTTGATACAAGGTCAAAACCGAAGAAGGGAGATTAGAATAGTAATTCTATAGCATTTGTTGGAGGCATTATTCAAATATATCAGGTGGAGGCATTATTCAGAGAGGTTGTTTAGAAGCACTATTCAAAGATATTGGTTGGAGGCCGAATTAAAAGATGTTGATTGGAAGCTGAATTAAAAGATGTTGGTTGGAGGTATTATGCAAATATGTAAGTTGGAGGCATGATTCAGAGACTTTGGTTGGAAGCACTATTCAAAGATGTTGGTTGGAGGCCGAATTAAAAGATGTTGGTTGGAGGTATTATTCAAATATGTCAGTTGGAGGCATGATTCAGAGAGGTTGTTTAGAAGCACTATTCAAAGATATTGGTTGGAGGCCGAATTAAAAGATGTTGGTTGGAGGTATTATTCAAATATGTCAGTTGGAGGCATGATTCAGAGAGGTTGTTTAGAAGCACTATTCAAAGATATTGGTTGGAGGCCGAATTAAAAGATGTTGGTTGGAGGTATTATTCAAATATGTCAGTTGGAGGCATGATTCAGAGACTTTGGTTGGAAGCACTATTCAAAGATGTTGGTTGGAGGCCGAATTAAAAGATGTTGGTTGGAGGTATTATTCAAACATATCAGTTGGAGGCATTATTCAGAAAGGTTCGT